TTATCCTGTGTTCGTGAGTGGATGCGTGTGTACTCGTATAAGCAGGGTTTGTTTGTACGTCCATGTGTTGCTTGTGTATAATTCTATAAACGAGCAAAAGTACCTGGTAATATGCAGCAAAGTATTTTATGCTTCCTAAAGTGTTTCTCAAATTAATCCTTTAGCCACCCTATAAATTATTCACGTTGTGTGAAGGATGGCAACATAACACACGCCCACCACTTACTTACCAAATGAAGCCAACGGCTGAAATGAATGGATAGAATGCATGGATGGTGTGTTGCTTCTGCCATTGCTGTTGACGTTGCCTTTGGTGGAGGGCAACAGTCTAACAGTCCAACAGTGCAACAACAATTAACCTTTGCTTAGCATTGTTCTCCATTGAGTGCTGCCCTTCGTTATATTTGTGCAAGTTTAAATAGTTTTTCCAGTAATAATGTCCTCTCAACTGGATTATATGAGCATTCCGACTCTCCATGTAATGCAAACGCATTCAATGTATGCATTTCATATGGCCAACAATTATTTTAGGAATGTTTTTGTGTGTTACCACTATGGATTTGTACATTCCGACTTGACCCTTACTTAATTTGCGTACTAAATTCGTTCTGTTTAATTTGAGTACATCATAAATAACTTGTTCACATCTCTGCTGCGCAATAGCAAATGCCCAAAATGCTTCATAAGCAACAACTTTCCATATATGCAAATGCACTGCAGTTCAGGAATTTGTGAATTCAATGTACTAACTTTTCCACTACTCCACCAGTCCATTTTAATCTTATCTAATTGAATTTTATTATCTATTTCAGGTGTACAGCATGTCCACACCGAAGAGCAGTCATGGCAATGCTAGCAGTTTTGGTGGCGCTAGCACTGGTGGGCGCAGTGCTGATCCGAAAGAGAAACTACGTCGTATACCGAGTGTACAGCCAGGTGCATTAATTTGTCAACATCTCATTAAGGAAGGCACATATGGCAGAATCTACGCTGGCAAATTGGGTGACTCTTGTGATGTGTTGATTAAAACTGTTGTTGATGGCGCTTCACTAACCCAAGTAGCATGTTTACTACAGGATGCGTCAATGCTAATTGGAGTCGCTCATTTAAATGTGTTACCACCTTTGCTAGCTAATACTGATTTGCCAGGACCACCAGAAATTGCATATCCATATCCGTCCAAGGGAAATTTAAAAATGTAAGTTTTGTGGTTTTCCGTATAAAAACTTTATTTTTGTCCTTCCGTTCTTAATTAAATTTTTTTTCCTAATGAATTCTGTCTCTACAGATTCTTACAAAAATCACGTGAAATGAACTCCCCGTTAAGCACTCGTCAACTTGTGGAATTTGGCTTACACGTTTCCAAAGGACTGGCACATCTTCACTCATTGGGTATAATACACAAGGACATTGCAACTCGGAACTGCTAGTGAGTAGACTCATATTTTTATTTAATTTAATTATTATATAAACTAAAAGATGTTTATAAAACTTAAATTAATAAATTAATTTTTTTAAAGAATTTCACATAACAAAGCACACCTTTATTCTACTTATATTTGTTATTATTATAACAACTCTCTTAAACTTCCCAAAAGGTTACATTTGGCTCGTTTTTAAGAGCCTAATAAAATAACGACACAATAATGCTAGATTTGTGGTTTAAAGGTATCTGTAGGATAGATTACGATAAATTAACCTGGTGGGCGATAAGACACCATAACACTATAATAAAAAAAATAAAGTGAGATTCTTTATGACCATCTTCTTTTTATTCTTCTATTTAATCGCTTTCAAAGTACTCTTTCTTTGACACAGCATACCTACGGCAACGGTTTGTCCAATTTGGAAGCTATTTGGGTTGCTATAGTTGATTTTTAGAATGGCCTTTAAAGTACAAAGCGTTGTAACTTAGCTATAAGTCAGGAGATGAATTCGATGGTTAATGAAAAAAAAAAATTCTTTTTCTGAATAATTTTAAAGAAACAATGCAGTATGAGATGGTGCATTATCTAATACAGCCTGTCTTTTTTGTGTAAAGCTTCACATAAATATTGCATACCGTGTACCCGGCGGAGGAAATTCATACTGCACCACACTATGATGATCAAAGAAAACTGCTTACATGACATTGATTTTTAAACGACATTTGCGCCGTCGTCTGGTTCAGAAAGCTTTGTTTAACAAAGTTTAACGCGGCGCTGCTTTTTGCAAAAAAATTGAGTGTTTTTGGCACCCAACGAGATATTACTTCTTTGAGCTACCAAACATATATCAATATTAGATGGGTTCGAATAGAAACTAAAAGCCAACAACAAAAATTTCAGTTAATTTATTGAAGTTTGGCTGACCATACAACGCTGTTTCGAGCATTGCCAAGTACTCATCATCAGTGGTCTTAGAAAATATTTGAAATTTGTGATTAGTTTATAGTCCGTATATAATATGTTTTGACTGAAAGTTTTAGACTTTCAACTATCTTTTAAAATAGTCTATATTGATCTATCGAAATGAAAATTTATCAGTATCGACGAGATCACTAATCATCATTCGACAGTTCTTGATTACCAAATTTATGATTTCATTGATATATTGTTTATCAGTTGATGATGGTCGTCAGGGTCATTTTTTATCTTCAATAGTTTCTCTGCCTATTCTGAACTGGTCTTATACTATATACAAACATTTTTTGTGATTAATCCTGATCACAGAAGGACTTCTGATATGTCACAAACAAATATGTACAAGTGATATAAACAATTCGATAAAGGTACACAAACCGTTCGTCATTGAAGATCTTCTGCGATATTTATTACAGAATAAAGAAATTTTATTACGCAAAAATAAGAGTTAAATGTCTAAAATGTTTATTTTGATATTTAAATATATAATTTGAAATCTATGTCTGTCACTAATGACTAAACCTTAAAAGTGCTGCCGGAGTCGAAAAACTTGCGTAGTTTAAATTAGGAACAACACTGTATTCACAGAAGTGTATGCCCGAATCCTATGTGGTAGAAATAATTGATTTGGTTGAAAAAGTTTTGGATGTGTTAAGAACTACTTATATATTCTTCAATTAAGTTAATCGTCCGCTAACAAATTTATTGTTTCTCCTTTACTTCACTATTGTGAGCAAACGATGTTCTCAAAAAATTTTCTGATAAGCGTCACATAAAAAAAAATATCACCGATATGAAGTGGACACCCTTTTAGAATAGCTTCAGGGTTTACTCACAGCAACCACGATAATGCTTTGTAAACTAACCCAGCGTCCTGACAATCGAAGTTTTAGGCACCTGGATTATGCGGTACCAGATTTCATCTTTGGTGAGGCGTCACAAATGAAAACATATTTACTATCAATTACACTCCAAAATTGCACAGGATGGATTTTATAGGATTTTAATCGCCTTTTTATGACAGCTTAAATTCTAAGCACACTATTATATTGTCTTTTCTTAGCACATTCATAAAATATATAGATATATTTATTGAACTTTTAATATTCCTTTTCTATATTTAAGTGTACTTCATCAATCATTATCCATTTACATGTCATGTTAACAAAAGCCTTCTTCTTATACTCTCTTATAATTTTTCTTTGCAGTTTGGACATCGACGCTCATGTTAAAATTTGCGACAACGCTCTATCACGTGATCTCTTTCCCGATGACTATCACTGCGTAGGAGATAATGAAAATCGACCACTTAAATGGATGGCATTAGAGTCTCTGCAGAAGAAATACTTTTACACCACATACAGTGATATATGGAGTTTGGGTGTATTTTTCTGGGAATTAGCTACACTTGCAATGCCACCATTTGAGGAAGTAGATATTTTTGAATTGATGCCATATCTCGCAGACGGATTTCGTTTGGGTCAGCCTATTAATTGTCCAGATGAATTGTAAGTAACCGATAGTGATTCAAAAGTAAGTATGTTTAATAACTGTAAATTTTGATTTATTTGCAGTTTCACTGTCATGTCCTGTTGTTGGCTTGTAGAACCAAAGCAACGACCATCATTTCCGCAGCTCGTAGCTTATTTACAAGACTTCCATGAAGACTTGGGCAAGTACATCTAAGCTATTCGCAATAGTGTATATGACACGACTGAAGCTGCATTTACATGCGATTGTTTCACAGGAGGAAGGCAGTTGTCCTTAAGTAATTAAGTGGTATCAATTTTTTGCATTTTAGTAAATTAATATTACGTATACATTAATTAAATATTTACATTTAAAATGTGTTTAATGTATGTATGTGAATTACCTGTTCGTAGAGCCATAAAAATTTAAATTTTACTTTTTAGCTAAGCAGAAATACGTACATTTTTACGTGAATAAAAGTAACGTTTAACTGAAAAGCAACATTTAATGACGTACTGTAGTTAGATTATATATGTAATTAACAAGAAAAATATAAGAGATTTTAAGATTTAATTAAGAGCAGATATTATATTAAATTTAGGCGACTTAAGACTTTATTTTTGTTCTGTTTTAATGTTGTCTTAAGTAAGTTGTTATCGTGTTTAACGATTAAGTAAAGAAGAAATTTTATGAAATAAGTATTTTTACACAACTTTTATTCCAGTTTTTCTTTCCTTATTTTCACAAAGTAACTATTATAGTCTAAATCCAAAGAATTATTTTTTTTTTAATTTGTTACTTTACTTAATATTCAATTTTCTTCCTTTGATTTAATGTGGCTTTGAGGTGAAAGTGCTGTTGATGTGGTTTTGTAGAAAGTTAACCTTGACAAACATTAAAAATTTAAAATACTATTTCTCTAATAAGACGTTAGTATTTCTTAAGGAGAAATACAAAAAATTTGCAGAAAGAAATTTTTATTTTACAAGGCTTAACAAAGAACATCTAAGTGGGCTACCCTCTTTAAGTGCAGGGTTGCAGAGCAAATGTTCGGTATATCTGCAGATAAAAATTGAATTTAAAAGAATGAAATAATTTTCTCGCGCTCAAAAATTACATTACTTATCCGTTTATTGCATATTATGAAAAAATCTTAGAGAAAATGTTTTATTTTACACAACCAAGCTAAGAAAATCTAAGTTAGGCACCCTATTGAACTATAGGGTTGCCTTAGAAGTATTCCACGTATCGTTGTACAAAAATTGGTATTTTCTCTAATTCAAAATTTTTTTACTAATCCAAATATGTTTTAACCAAAACCATTATTAATCAATCAAAAGAGCAAAATAATTTCATTAACTACAAATACAAAGTGTTATCTACAGATATATTTACATTGTAAATCACTAATACTTCATTTATTGATACTACAAATAAGTAAAAAGTACACTTTTTGTGTGATCTCTTAGTGCTTGTCGATGAGTATTGCTTATCATATGTTGCTATGATAACATACAATATTATCAATGTGCACACAATATTGATAATAATTTTTAATGTTTATGCTCGGATACTCGTATTTAGTGCAAAGTCCTATAACAAATCGAATTACAGAAACAATTATTGAAAAATTCTCACATATTCTTAGATATTAGTTTTTAAGCAGACCGCATCGAATAAAAGACTAAACCAAGCAAGCCATAGATTCAGTGCTTGCCCATTTTTTCTTCATAATATGCCCAGGAGCTTATGTTTGCAAATAAACGCAAGTACTTTTCACAGTCATTTTTTGGAAATCAGTTTCTCAGACAATATATTAATGCAAAGATTCAATAAAATGACAATTGGATAGTCAGTTGTTGCAGTTAATGCATCAAAACTTGACAATTAAACTCACTTAATTTGAGCTGGGACACCAAATATACGACCCATCTAGGATTTTTATTTGGTAATACGTTATTTGTCCTCTTAATCAGTTTAAACATACATAAATGCATTAAAACTTCCTAGCTAGGGTCTAGTAATTTGAGCTGATATACTAAAGATGTGTGTCATCTAGCATTGCCGCTTTGAAATACAAAATTTTTCCTTTTGATAAGTTCTGATCTATGTATATTATACAAATTCTTGTTTCATCCGCATTAATTGGATGCAGTAGAGATTTGAAATCATGGTTTGAATATGGGATAACAATCTATAATTGATATACGTACCACATATACAACATCAGTTTTCGTATTCTCAACTCCTACTTTGCTACCATGTAAACAACTTCTCTTTTTTTGGCAAGGATTATGTTTACCCAACATTAATCGGTGGTTCTTCTTCTGTTTTCATATTCACTTATGGTTATGGTTTCTTCTGTTCTAACAATGATACTCAGAAATTGATTCTGTTCATAAAATTGTTTTCACTTATGAGCACTATACGTTCATGAGACTTAGAAACATAAAACACCTAGTTATAACTATCTTTACGCAAACGCTTTAACAGAGTGATTGATATTTAATTCAGTCCCTTAGTGATGTATAAACTTGAGCATAAAGGTCTGTTGAGTGAATACCCTGGTCTCGTACTGCAATTCAAATAAAAAATATGCCTTGTTGACTTGATGTGAGAATGCCAGTTTTGTTAATTGTTATCTATAACTTCATTGGCCGTTTCAACAAGAGGTCTACCAATTGTGGTGTCTAAAAAATAGTAATAAAACATGATATATATAACTGCCATAAGTAGAGTTGTGTATTTGCTTTCAAGTTTAACCCATAAATTAAGTCTATAAAACTAAGTTCGACTTTAAAACAAAACCTAATTAAATACAGCAATTTTTGAACTCAAAGCTTCAATAACTATACTAAAGTAACTTACTTTAAACTAAAATTTAAGATAAAGTAACATGAATTAAACTTTTTCTTAGTAAAAAAATCTATGTGTACTGAATTTCTACAACTATTAAATAATGAATCCATAAATCAAAAGTATATATAACTTATATGAAACTAATTGAAATTAATTTTAACTCTCGATGTTAAGTGTAAAAGTCTGTCTACTCACTTTGATGTTGAATGAATTAAAAGATAAAAAGAGTAATTAAAATTAAAAAAGTAATATAAAAGAGTTACCAAACTCAAATGTCAAAAAACGAAAAATTATTGTGATTGTATTTTAATTATTTGTTATTAAGAATTATAGATATATGTATTTAAATGTTTATTTTTACATATATATATTGTATGTATTCATATTAAAAAAATAATGATATACATTAATATTTCAAATTATATGTATTTAAATGAATCGTGTATTATCGATGTGCATTCGTGTGTATTCGTCTATGATCGTTAACGTTCGTCTATACTCGAAATCTCTATGTGTAAATTGTTGTAATAAAAATTAAAAGAAAATGAGAATTATAAAGAAAAATCTAAGAAACTAAGAATACCAAAACTGATATTGACTATGTATATGTAAACTATACTTAATATATTTGTAACTATTCGTACTAATACTAACTGTTTCAACTCGTGTTTACTGTTTAAGGAACTTTTCACATTTATCTCTATTTTAAACTCCTCTAACTGTCGTAGATCTGTAAAATCACTAAATAAAACAACACAAAATGAATTTCCGAAAACTACATAAAAGTAAAAATAAATAATTAAATAAAATATAAAACATAAAAGAAATATTGATGGAAGTTAAAAAACATGAAAAAACTGATATAAAAGTGAAATTAATATTTGGTATTGTTCAACAATCGAATTATATTAAATAAATAAACAAATAAAACGGTGTTCCTTTTCAATTAAAATTTCAATAATTTTTTTTTTCATTTTATTGAATGGTCATGGAGCTTTTGCACGCTACAATAAATGTTAGGTATGTAAAGTTTAAACATCTATAACATACATTTTCTCCTCAAGGTAATAAATTAGTTTGAATCTTAAAGCTAATCAAAGCCTTATATGATAAACAGATGTTTTCTGATATTTTCATTAACATGTTTTATTTAAATAATATTAAAATGGAATATATTATTTTTAAGTATTAATATTGAAAAGGCTTAAAAATAAGTCTTTTATAGAAATATTAAACCCAGCAATATTTTAATTTGGCATTTATTAATCTAATTTATCAATCTCTTTTTTTATCATGATATATCTTATATACCATACATTTGAATTGTATTGAGAAGTACATGAGAACAAGGAGCAAGAATGCAAATGCAAAAACAATGAAAAAGAGAAAAAAGAGAAAAAGTAACAAATTTCCAAGAACGTCGATGTTGTCATTCAAATAAGTGAAAGAAGAGGGATAGTGCATTATAAATTATAGATTAATGGAATTGGTATGTGCATTAATCTTCTTCTAGGTGCGTTTCAGTCGATCTACACCGGTATAATCTAGAATCGTACATCACTTTTATTCTAAAACCCATTTTTTTAGATTTAACAGTATAAACATCAATAAACCCCCTATAAAGTATAAAATGCTTATACTTTTTTATTTGCTAAATAGCTTAGACGCGATAACCTTGATACATTTAACGATGGTGCCAATAGAGATATCTCTACGCGAGCGGATAAAGTAGGAAAGCGTATCTTAAGAGTGAATAAAACTAGTATTTTATTCACACTACTGCGAGTAAAGATTACACTAAATTTATCGAGATTGTTTTGTTGGGATTATTCAGATGATATAAACCTTAAAAAAGATATTTCAAAAGATTTAAGATTTTACATTGACAAATTTTGTGTAAATCGTCAATTTATGTATCAATTTATGTCCTAAGAATAAAAAGTTATTTGGGGTATATGACTGTCGTGGGAACCTCAAAAGAACCGTATCCTGGACCTTAAATTTATAATCAGTTGTGGCTGTTTCTTACGATTAGTCCGCTTGGTGATGGTTTCTATTCTTAAAGTTATCCAAACTCATTTCTGGAGAACATGTTGGTCTCTAACTATTCACAGATGAAAAGTCGGTTTTTGAGTTTTCTCAAAAATCTTGTCCCGTTTGTTGGGTTTAATCCATTTGAAATTGTCTTCCTGCTTAGGTAAGTATGCTGTATTCGTATAGCCAAACGGTATTAAATTCCATGTTTACTCAGAGCAAGTCTCGAATAAATCGATGTTAACCCTACAAGTGTAACATAGAAACCCTCCTGTTGCAACCACAGTCAATCCAGGCCATTTTAGTACGATATAATAAAAACTCGTTTAGCATAGCTTAACACTTAAATTATATTCCTTTTTAAAGTAGTATGACTCGATGAAGCGCAGAGGCTGGTTTCACCAAATATTTCTACGAAAAAGCGCTTTCTGAATATTTTTTATCGGAGCAATGATTTCGGATAATATGTTTCTAAA